AAAGAAAAAGTAAAACGTTTTAAGTCTTTTATATTAAGTTGTTGCTTATTTTCTGTCGTATTATTTTTAAATAAAAATAAAAATTGATATAATTAAAAAGAAGAACAAGAAAAGTATTTCAACATTTTAAACGTTACACTAATCTTGACGGACTGGTCTCAGATATTCCATTCAAGCCGTATCGGTTATCAATGGTTATCATTTTTATAGCTTTCTTCAGATGATAGATTTAATAAACTTGTCAATTTAAAAGATGCAAATAAATTATTTAAACATTTGACAAGTGCACAAAATACGATAGAAACTACGTAACAACTTAATAATATTAATGATACATCACATCTAGTTGTTAATTATTATAAATTATAAATTTACATTGTATATATATATATAAATATATATATATAATTTCATATATTATTATCAATAGTATCAATCACATAATTTTTTTATTGCCGTAAAAAAATTACTTACAAGAATAAATGTGTGATTGTATCTCGCAATATCATTCTTATATATTTAATTATCTAAAAAGCAAAAATACACGGAAATGTGAACGTATAATTGCGATATGAAATTTTCCATATCAAGTATTAATTTATTGAATCAATTCTTTTTTGTATTTTCTCGAATCATAATTATTTCTACTTCATAACAAAAATTGTTAATTAAAAAGACAAATATTCTGGAATAAAGTAAACTTTCCGATATTAATCTTGCTATAATAAGAATGTTTTCTTTTTTTAATATGGAAAGGCACTATATGGTATTATTTATTTTCTATGATGAGGAATGAAAAATAATATAGCAAAGAAAAATGTTTTTTTTTTAAATAATTCCAATCTAGTTAATTTAAAAAAAAAATAAAATAATGTTTACAAAATTGTTTAAAACTATTTCACGATTTTGTTTATATATATGTGACCTATTTTTTCAGATTAAAAGTGTTTCACACACACACACACAAAAGCACTGTCAAATAAATTATTTATACATGAATTATCATCTGTATACATGTGTAAGTGTTCACGTGTTGAGTGTGTATGTGTGTGTGTTATAATTTTATAAATATTATATGAACCATTTGTAAAAAAGACATCTATCCCATTTTTTTTTTACAAATTTTAATAATGCGTCTTAAAAGCTTTTCAAAAAATCTGACTTTAGTATAAATTTGAGTATAAATCTTGAACTTAATATGATTCGCATTTTAAAATATGTTTCTTAATAACCTTTTTTATAATCATTTTGTTTGTTTTTTTTGTTTTCATAAATGTTACATTTAAGCCATCTTCATCGAGCGAGTGGTGAATAAAATTTAGGCTGCAATACAAAAAAAAATATGTTATTAAAACATAAATTTAGAATAATAGTATCGACATAAAGCACCTTAAATGAAAGGGAAAGAAATACAATTATATTAAATTTATAAAACAAAATTTTCAATTATATAGAAATATTAATATTCTTACTTCATCATGACTTTCATCCTTATTTCCATCATCGTCATCACCAGAACTGTCACCTCCTGAACTGTCCGCAGAATTACGCTGTTGATCTTTATTATTTATACTGTCGATATTAACCGGAGCTGATGCTTTAACTTTACTAGCTGCATCATAACATTGCAAACATACGCGGACGGCTTTTCCATTTCCTTGTCCAGGTAATAACAACTTCTTATTGCTGCAAGGGCCACATACTACCGCTCCACATTGTCTACAATGATGCTGCAAACAGATATAAATTATAGTTAATGTATTGAAATAATCTATTGCATTTAAATGTATATAAAATAAATAACTGTACCCGTCTATTTAAAACCGTGAATTGTGTATTTTTACAATGCATACAAATAGGTGCGTCATTATCTGGTACCCACACCGCTGCATGAATTTCTACTGGTTTCTTACCACCTATTATAATAACAATTAGTTTTTAAACAATTATAAATGTAAATGATATAGCAAAGTAATGTTACCTACTCTTTCTTAATAAATCCTCGATACATTTTGTAATATGCGCCATCCATTCTTGCTTTTCTGTTGCAGTAGCAGCATAAACAGCAAACGACTTTGTTACTGTTTTAATGAGCCAGCCATTGCGATACTCTATAAATAATGATTAATTACTATCCTACTTTTCTTTATACTTAAACTCTTGCAAAAGTTGCATTTAATGCGACCGATTTAGTATCTGAAGTATAATCCCTGAAATTGTAATAATTAAAGTCCACAACTCTTTTATTCATTACACATATTTATCAAATATGTATAAATAAAATTATACAAGAGTTATTATTAGATGCAATTAAAAAAATAAATAACAAATATATTTGTATCCCTTATATTTGTCAAAATAGATATTTTAAATATTCTTCAAGGTAAACAGTTCTCAATCATAATCGAAGAGATTATTAAATGATATTTAAAGATACATAAGATGAAAATATATATTACAAAGAAAATAGGTTTTAACTTACGACCATCATCAGCTAAAGATTCAAGTTTCACTTCCTCCAATGGTATAATATGTTGCTTGTTGTACTGTCAGCATATAGAAGAAAAAAAAAAAGTAATTACATTTTAACGTACTCAACGATTACTTTAAAATCAAATTAAATGTCAATTATTACATTCAGTCTTATCGACTTCATATTTATGATTACATTGATAGCTTGTGCTTTTTATTATATTTGATCGAAAGCACAGGTGAGAGAGAGAGAGTTTTGCATACATGCACATGTCATCAACAATTTTTTCATTGCCAAGTTTGGTATACGTGTCAATTGTTTACTACCTTTGCTTTATATGATACTATCATAAAAGAATATTAATATTTACCTTTTTCTTATTAATCACTATATTCCCGTATACTAATATGTCGTTAAATAAAAAGAACTGTCTAGGCTTGGCTTTCTTTCGACACATTTTTGTCAATACACCTTCTCCTACGAGAACTCTTCCAGGTACTGCCAGTGGCTAGAAAATTAAAACATTATATAATATTATTACAATAATACATAATAATTGTTTTTGAACTTTGTATGATAAGATCTAAATAATATACTCAAAGATGTTTGATTTAATTGAACAAAATACTTTGAATGATAAGATAAGAGAGATAAATCCAAAATATATATTTAAAATTATTCTCCGAAAAAAATGTAAAAATCATGTAAGAAAATATCCTGTAAGATTCATTGTTCGTTATTATTTGAGTTATCGTATTAATCATACCTGTCCTGAACTGCCGAAGCAGTTTTCCACCATCGTGATGCGTCTTGCATTGGCTTCACTGTTTACTGTAATAAACGTAATAAAACAAGGTTATGTTAGAAACTAAGGAATAAATATAATCAAGATAACGAATAAATTTCATTAGAAAATAACAAAATAATGATAATAATATTTATCGACACACGACACATTTAACGTCTAGTAAATGTCAAAATCACACAGCCCACTTAAATACGCCATTATCCTTAACAATTAGCATAAATCCTCGCGACACGCGAAATAATAGAAATTAATTGTTCGTGAAAATAATAAATTAAACGTTGAAATTTTAATATACATCAAGTAATTTAATTGAATTCCATTTGAAACGTGAAGATATTAATTAAAGAAAAATAAGTAGTACACAAACTAACCCAATCGGTCAACCATGATCCTCTATGAATCAGGGCTGGCAACAGCAGGAAGCATGAATCAGACCTGCTATTTAATCGTAAGGAAAATTGTGTGCGAATAATCTTCGATAGTATTAAACGACCCCAGGATTTTGTCAATTATGCGATTACTATCCCATTTAACTAACTTTCATTACTTTTTCTTTATAATCTAGATATTATATTTCAATGTTGAAATATATTAAATTCGATAGAAAAAATATAACCTAATCATTTATATTTATATTATATTCTATTAACTATAATCGAAATTAATATACGTTTTTATATATATATATACACACATACATAGAAACAAAAGTATCTCTCATATGACATATTTAATTATTTTTTTTTTATTTTTCTTTATCTTTTTTAATTAAAATTAAATCTAAAATGATTACAATATAATATATTATTTATTAAAATAAATGTTTTTAATCGTTTTCATTTAATAATTGAAAAAGTACAACTTCTCAGTTTCAAATACCGGAAGTGTCGATAATGTCGCACGATATCGATAGTGTGACGTATCGATTAGAATCATATGATTGTCGAGGGCGTAGCATTGTTAAATCTAACGGTGAGGAAGTATTAGTGTAATCGTTGTGAGGTTACTTTGCCAAAGAGCAAAGTAACGAATTTATTAAATACCATGAAAGTATGTGGTCCGAAATATGCCCTATGTGGCTTAGTACTTTCTGTATGGGGTATATTCCAATTAGTGAGTTTTATTTAACGTTAATAATTTTTATATCTTTATATATTTTACATAAATCACATACTCAAGTTGCAACTATGTTTGTAGTTTTAGATATTTACCTACAATTAAAAAATCTCATTTGTAAAATTGTTTAAAAATGTTATTCGATTATATGTATCTGATGTTTGTTGTGCCATTTTTACAGGTTCTGATGGGAATATTTTTCTATATAAAGAGCGTAGCTCTAGTTGAAGACCTAAACTTTGAAAGGAAATATTTTTCTAATCAGAATGAATTCTATTTAGAAGCTGAAAGGAGTTATACGCAAAATGCATACAATTGCTGGATCGCAGCATGTATTTATGTTCTTACGTTCTTATTTTCCGGATATCAATTTTATTTAAATTCGAGATCGTCTCTTAGCGTTTAATAATAATAATATATTTCTCATATATTGTAAATGAATTAACAATGCTGTTATAGAGTAATATAATGTACTTGTATCAAGTGATTTATTATCCAGATTATTATATTATGTATATTCTATTTAAAAAAACAAAAAAGAAAGAAATCTAAATAATCGGAGAAATTTTAATTTCATTAATTACTTTGTTACGAACAAATCTGATTTTATATAATACATTCCATGTTTATCGACTAATGTAAAAAAATTGATCCTGTATAATGCGCTTATGATATGTAATTACATTTTGTTGTGAATTAGAAAATATTGTCAATTATATGCTATTTTTCCCCTAAGGTCTTACAATCTCCGTGCCAAATTTGATAAATTGTTAACTTGTACCTTATCTGCTTGTATAGCTTATATTAATGTTAATATGTATTTTAATTACATGCAATACTTTCGTTGTACTTTCTTTTAAATATTTTGATATTAAATTCAAAAGTAACAATTGATATAGATGAAACAAAAATTAATTACAATAATTTTTATTAATTTCTATTAATTTTATATAGTTTACAAGTTTAATTATATAACAATCCAATTTTGATAACGCGTTTGAATTTAACTTTATTATTACAAATGTCATATAAATGCAATAACACTCACACATTATGACATTATTTTATAATAATTAATTAATAATCAGGGAACAATTATAATAGTAAAATAATAATAATCATTTATTTTTGATCCAGAGTGTAAGAAAATTTAGAATAAAAAATTTTTTGCGAAACATTACTTTCGCGTTTTAATTTAGTCCAATCAATGGAAATCCATCTCAAGTCACGTGAGTGTGTTGTATGTACGAATGACATATTGTAAGGTTATGTTCCTACTTGGTATGAATCATTGAATTATGATGTGGAATTAATGTCATTGCTTTATTTATTACTATTTTATAAAATTAAAGGTAAATCATACTTAATATTTTATATAATTGAAAGTATTTTTATATGTGTTCAATTTTAACATAATAAAAGTATAATTGTAGTGATAAAATAGGTTAATTGAAAATGATATTTAGTATTAAAGTGAAACGAAATGAAAATATGAAATAATTATTACTTTTGTTTGCATTATATAGGAATAGTTAAAACTTTCTTCTTACAATGCAGACCAATCGAGATGCATCAATCAACGATTACACAGAGATAGTCCAGCGTCTTCCTATTAGCTTAAGATTAGCCTACGGAGTAGGACATGTTTTAAATGATATTTGCGCTTCCATGTGGTTTACATATTTATTAGTGTATTTTCATTATGTATTGGGATTTAGTGCTACTCTTTCAGGAGTATTATTACTTATCGGTCAAATAGCTGATGCGTTAGCTACTCCATTTGTTGGCTTACATTCGGATAAAAATGATGATTTTTGGCTTTGTAAATATGGCAGAAGAAAGACATGGCATTTGTTAGGTATATATAATTTTCTCTATAATCAGACTTGTCCTCGATTATTCATTATTTTCAATAATTGTACATTGATACGATATTATTTTTCAGGAACCATTTGCGTGTTCTGTACATTCCCATTTATATTTTCTCCGTGCATTAATTGCGAGAATGCACATCAGTGGGCACAATTAATATATTATGCTGCTTTTATTATAATATTTCAGTTTGGTTGGGCATCAGTACAAATTTCACATTTATCTTTGGTCGCTGAACTAACACCGACTGAACACGAAAGAACGGAATTGATAGCTATTAGGTAATGTTTTGATTCTTATCAAATACTTTTACATTTATATTTTAATATTTCTTATTGAAAATATTCATTGTGTATTTCGAAATAGATATAGTTTTACGGTATCCTCAAATATTCTTGTATATTGCACAACATGGGCATTATTGCATATAACGAACAATAATGCTCCTGATGCTCAAATTGGACCTGGAGATGCTAATAAATTTCAAACTATTATATTATGCGTAACAGGAATTGGACTTTTTACTTCTCTTATATTTCATATTTTTGTTAAGGAAGGAAATATCAATAATTCGGATGGTAAGATATTTTACGATTAACATTTACATAAGATTTATATATTTTACATTTTATAATTGATATTTCTAGGTTCCTTGCGTTGTAATACGAGACCTATATCAGTATTATTAAAAAATATACAATTATATCAAGCGGCATGCATTTACATGCCAACACGATTATTTGTAAATTTGTCACAAATTTATATACCTTTATATTTACACGAATATTTAAATATGCCAGCTACGTTATTAGCTATTATACCATTAACTATGTTTATTAGTAGTTTTGTAACATCCTTAATTATAGAAAGATTAAATACTAAATTAGGAAGAAAAATATCATATTGTATTGGCATATTGTTTGGTCTTTTGGCTTGTATATGGATACGATTTGGAAATGGTTATACATATACAAATTATCAAATTTATCCGGTATCCATTTTGCTAGGTACGTACAAAAATATACAGAATAACTTAATGAATTATTTAGTAAATATAATATTCTAAATAAGTGTGAATTATTAGGTTCTGCTGGATCGATCATACTAGTAACCAGTTTAGGAATTACTGCTGACTTTATAGGTCAAAATACGGATAGTGGAGCATTCATATATGGATTTATGAGTTTTACTGATAAACTTGGCAACGGACTAGCAGTAATGCTTATACAATATTTGTTAGTATATTTTTATATAGAAAACAAAATATATATATCATTAAATATACAAAAATATTCGTTTTTTTGTTACAGACGTAAATTTATCGTTACTACCGATTATTATAGAAACATACTTTCATATGTTTGCGGTGGTTCTGCTATCTGTGGTCTTTTAATGATATTGTATATAAAACCGTTTCCATCTTACACGGGTAAATTATTAAATGTTATATTAATAATCATAAATAGATACATTTAAATAATTTTTATATTATTATTATTATTACGTATTACAGATTACAGTACTGTAAACACGGATGGAACTACAGAAACTGTTGATTCAAATTCATCTATTGTTTTTTCTGTTAATGATAGAATAGATACATTCCCAACAAGACAAGAGCACGTTACTTAATCGTTGATAATACAAAAATGTATATAATGGCAGTGTGTATGTTTTAATGGGTTATTGCAGTGTATAAAAAAAGAAAAGAAGAAGAAAATCCAAAAAATAATATATTTTACGAATATTTTAATAATATCTTTAATAAGATATATATNATTAACGAACAAAGTTATTGAGAAAATGATTATCGTCGATTAACGATAAAAAAAGATTATGGTGTTAGATGATATATATATATATATATATATATGTATATATACGTACATATAAATATTTAAATTTTCATGTTGCAATATGATGGAATAAAGATCTATACTAAAAAGGATTAATAAAAAATAAGTCACGGAACTTCAGCATGCGATGGTACGGTGCCTATCCTTCCAAAGGACGAATTGTTTTACTGCACGCGATCCACTACCAGGCTCTGGCTGCTAAGCTTAAATTCGATTTTCCGATATTAGTATGTTGGTCCTAGTACAGTTAGTCCCGTGTCATTGATCGCTAAACATGTTCTTAGACGAAAGCTTCGTAACGATCTATTACGGGTGCTTTTTAGTTCTGTAAAAATGCTCAGCTCGAGCAACAATCGCGATCGTTTAATTGATATATCAACGACAATGTCAAATTCTGCTGGAGTTTCTAACACGTATCTCGTACGTCCACGATTACCTTTAAGGATTTATTCGAAACCTAAAATATCTGGAAGTTATACTCATTATCCAGATTCGGCTGGTCTCTCGCGTACGAAAAGAACTAAAACTAGGTAAATATTTTATCAGATGATAAACAAAATTTTTAATTTTTTATTCACTGTTTAATATTGTTTTTATTTTTCATTAATATTAGATATAGGAAAATTCTTTTTATTATTTTATAAATTATCTTCTTTTTACTCGAAAATGAAGTAATACAATATATTTTTGCAAAAGTATATTATTTGTAGTATTATAATATATATTATTATTTAAATAAAGATTTATTTTTATAGAAAAACAAATGGAGTTCAAAAAATAGATTTAAACAAAAGGAAAAGTCCGGATTACATAGAAGTGATTTATAGAGAAGCTGTTTCTAAATTAAAATATTTGTTAGCTGAAACTTATTTGCCAGTGGATTCTTCTGGGTAAGAGAATCGTATTTTCATTTCATTCTCGTAGTAAATAATAACGTAAATTTTTTATTAATTAATTTGTTATAATGTAAATGAGAGAAATTATACTATACAGAAAACAACAATGTGTTAAAAGTAATTATCAATCTGGTAGAATTACTAAATCGGGGAACGACATAGATGAACAAAGTTTTATAAGCGAGGGTTCAAGAATGAAAGATTTAAATAACGACAATGTTTGTTTACTACCAACACCACGTCCACTTTCCTCCAAAAGTATTCATCCATCGAAAGCTTATAGTAATTTGGCACTTTCTATTGCTGAATTACAATCTGTTCCACCAGAAATTACTTCGTATATCGAACAGCAAGAAGAATATATCGAACAAATGGAACAGGAGTCTCAATATTGTAGAAGCGAATTAACTAACTTGCTTAGCAAAGTTAGAGAGGTATATATTTATTTATAATATATTTTATAAAAATAATTTTTAATTTTTTCAATAACATAAGAAATAATATCTAATAGGTCATAGCCGAAAATGAAGAATTGCATAATAAAACTAAAACTGGATTTTTAAAGTATGCTCTTGACGAGCACGAGAATCGTCCTGAAAATGATTGCACTTCTAACGACCATAGTCTTGCATGCACGAGCAGCATAGATTCCAAGATGAATAAATCATTAAAAATATTAGAAGGGCCCAATATAATATTTGAATCAAGAATTAGCGAGCTGGAGGCACAATTGACCCAAGCTAAGCTTGAGTTAAGAAAAGTTCAAGAAGAAAACCAACTCAATGTAAAGAAATTAGAAAATTCTTTCAGTAACGGTAATGTGGAAATATCAGCACAATTGAATCAAACTTTAAGAGCTAAATACGATGCAGAAATCAAAGTAGAAGAATTACAAAAAGCATTATCTGCAATGCGTGATAGAGAAATAGAATCTAGTCAAAAAGCTAAGCGTTCTATGGAGATGGCACAACAAATGGAATTTGAAAAAAATCAAGCAGAAACTGAAGTAAAAAGATTGAAGGACGAGTTGGATAGACAACATGAAAAACTCCGAGAAGCTGCTCATGAAGCAAGCAGACGTATTACTGAAGAAAGGCAACAAGTGGAGCGTAGATACAGTCAACAAGTCGAACAACTTTCTGCGGATATAACTTCTCAGTGGAATGCAGCTAATAAATCGCAATTGGAATCTGAGAAACAACAAAGGGAATTGTTGGATTTGAAGAGAGATTTGTCTCAAAAGCAAACGATCATAGACAATCTAAAAAAAGATTTGCAGAATAGAATATGTAAGTAAAATGAATATATTTAAATCATATTATTAAATCTCATAAAAAAATATATGTATATATTATAATTTTAATTATTTACATTTAATTTAGCGAGTTTACAGAGCGATCTTAATCAAGCTTTGACTGAAAAAGATATGGCTGAACAAGAAGTAATAGCTGCTAAATTAGCAGCAGAAAGAAATGATAGACAGACTAAACAAGAGCAAATTAGATTGCAAACGGAAATAAATGCTTACAAACAGCGCATGGAAAGAGCGGATGCAGATTTAGTTCATTGTAGGCGTGAAAATTTGAGGCTTTTAGAGCAGATAGCTTTGTTGGAGAAAGAGGTATTATGCACAAATAAACAAAAATATAAGTGAATTTATAATTAAAATAGAAAAATTTTATAGATCAATTTAAACAGAATGATGTACTCTGAAGATTCTCAAAGAAAAGATATAATCGGTCAAGAGAATAAAAAGGAGACGCCTACGATGAGGAAACTGGATATGGAAACTAAACATGGTAAGAAATAAAAAAAAAAAAGATATCGCGCCTGTGTTAGGTATATTGTCTGTAAAAAATGTTTCATCATTTAATATTCGCTTGAAAGCATTCAATGTGTGGGAAATCGGCATGCTGACATTATGCCTAGCATGGGCAGGATTACAGTTAGTCAGTTTATTAAAAATTGCCTTTTGATATTACTGCATTTCTCAGTTGCGACAGTTGGTGATCTAGAGGATGCCTTGAATAAACAAGCTAAACTAGTCTCTCAATTGACTACCGAATGCCAATCTCTCACACAACGTTTGGAAGCTAACAACGTTAAGCACAAGTATATTTTTAGCTTCGCATAGATAAAGATTTATTATTATATTTTTCTAATCACATTAAATTTGAATCGTAAAGCTTGAAATTCAGAATTCGATTAAATAATTGAAATTATCTTATAAAAAGTATATAGCGTTCGAATGTGCTTAAGATTTATATCTCGAGCTATTCTGTGTTGACAGAGGAGATCAATGATGGGGATAGAAGACTTGGAAATACAGCTTCTTCGTCTTCAAACAAGAAACGTATTGTTAAGGTTGATTTGAAAGTTAAAGTTATTCCTAAAAAGAAGTTAGATTCTTCAAAGATGCCTCTATCAACACAGTAATAGAACGTACGTTACTTTTAACAATTATCTTTACCATTAGTACAAATGATTATGTATGCATACTTTGAAAAACTTTACTTTTATTAGGGAAGAAATGGCTACCCTACAAAGTAACATAGAATACTTATCGAATAAGATAAAGGATTCATTTCATAATCAACAAGGTAATCTGTTTAGTCCTTGAAATATATATATTTAGCAAATATAAAATTTATATCGAAACATTTGAAATATTTGAAATAATACTAAGTAATAATTTTTAGCACTATATAATATCAATGCATCTTATAATTCACCGGATCAATTAAATGAGACGAAAGTAAATGGTAATACAAATCCTCATAATTCACAAAATACAGATTACGATATAAATCAAATGCAAAATGAAAATGACAATGATAACAGAGAAATTTATTCTAAAAAATTGCAAAAGAAAGATGATTTGGATGAAAGATATGATCATTCAAATCAACGTGAATATACTTTAGGAGGCTATATTAATAATAATAATAATAATAGTAATATATATAATATCGAAGATCAGTCAATAGAAGAGAAAAATGGAGAGCAAGAAAAACATTTGACTGACGATCAAAATATAATAGATAATACTAACCTAATGGAATCTTCTTATGATCAGTATGGAGAATATGATGAGTCACAATATCAAGAACAAGAATTTAAGGATAATGATCAATATAAAGAACAGGATAATACACACGATATGACACAATATTCTGAACAAGAATATCAAGAAAATCATTCTGCAATTAATCCTAGTAACGAATATACACAATAATTTGTATTTCTTTTTTCTATAGCATTTAAACACATTTATTGTATTATTAGAACGTGCAGAAATATTACGAGAAGACGTAATAAAATTAGTATTAAAATTGATCCCGATATTCATTTTATTTCTCAGTATTAATAGAAGTTCGTTTTGATTCATATTTATTCATTCAAATTTGTATAATAATGGCGCTGCAAGAAATAGCCAATCAAATCACAGCTGTCTTGATTGTTTGAATTTAAAAGGTATTAATCAAATTTCAATTATTGGGTAAAATTTTTATTATTTTTTTATCTTTTAATTCATAAAAAATTATTGTTAATGATATTTATTAAATATTAGTATTTCATTTGACATAATTACAGATCGTAATATTTGTAATACATAATACATGTGGACGATAATTTAGATTATTAGTTGTTAATTTGAATCACTATTGACGTTATGATTTCTTTTTTGAAAAATGGTCGATAATTTAGATAGTGAACGTGAAAGTGATCAAGAGGATTAAATATTCATGAAATCGAGGACAAAAGGTTATATATTTCATACTTATATACTTAATTATTACATCGTTTATATAATAATAGTAATTTCAGTAAATATTATATCGATATATAACCACTTATTGAAAAGTTGTTAATACAACAACCTGTCTTTTATTCCAACTATGGATAAACATCTAGCATAAACAATTGTTATGAATTCATTATTATATATAGATTTCAAATAAATAATATATCAATCTCTCGTTGCAAACTAGAGATTTAATTGATTTAATATTTCAAAAATATTTATCACATTTGTTTATTTTTGTCTTTAAATATTAAATTAAAAATTATCCATATAGATGTATCATTAAACTAACAATCTTTGAATTGGTTAAATTCAACGATGTTATTAACTAGTATGACGCATACATTTCTTCGTTGATGTATTTGTAAGAGAAAGAGAAAGAGAGAGAAAGGGAGAGGCATCCTTAGCACATATTGCCTTTGACATAATATCGTTATTTCAGAGAAGCTGATTAAGAAGCGCTCGGTTTACGATGTTTGCGGAACATGTCAGTCTTCCTCTGGTCTCACCAATATGCGCATGCACGCTGAAACTACGTGGGAGGAGCTGAAACAGAGTTCGAGCAGCTACCAAGGGAACTTCTCTCTGACGCCCCTCTCTTTATATACAATTCAGGATAGCTATGTATTTACTACGTACGTGTGTGTGAACTGCATCAACCTAGGTAAGTAAATATCATCGAAACATTCTCCAAATTAATTTAACAACAAATTATACAATATCTTGCATCACAAATAAAACATATTTATTATTTTATTTTATGCACAAACTTGCATTACTTGATAATATGATTTATTGTGCAATGCAAAATTTTCCCTCTAATATTCATTTTTTTACATTTGCAAAAAGAACAAAGTTATGATACAGCCCACTTTACTATATAAACTCTGTATATGTATTATTAGGTAAAAAAATTCATGCTATTTTTAACTCTTGCATATAATTTCATCTCCATTGAACAATAAAACAGAACAACAAATTTTCTCATTTATTTAATATTAAAAATATATCATTTTAATCAAAATAAACGATATTATTTAAGGATATTCTAAAGAAGAAACGAACGCCTTCCCGATCGTTTAATATTTGCACCAATGAAAATTCGACGATGGATTAAAAATCATAGAAGATATTTTATATTCGGCTTGAAATCACAATTTGTTGGATTTCGTAGAAAATTTTCCGAGGAAATCTCGCATGGGAAAATTTCGTTTATACGGTGAGTTTTCTGTAGGAGGAAAATCTCTTCTTGCTCTTTTATATATATACATATATATGCATATACACCACGTATATATGTATACGTATGCACGTGTATAGTCGTCGGCAAATGAGAAGGGGTGGCCTCGAGGCTGGAGGCCAGGGGTTGAAGCCATTACCGTCACAAAGCTACCACTAGATTGCCGTTGGGGCTTTCATACTGTTCTCTCTCTCCTCCCCTTTTCTCTCTCTCTCTCTCTCTCTCCCACTTTATTCTATATATCTATCTCTGTTTCTCCTTTACTTGTTCCCTTTCTCTCCCATTACCTGTTCTTCCATGTCTCTTTTCCTCCTGTATCCTCTTGTTTCACCTTCCCCGCCATTTTCTTTTCTCTCTCTCTCTCTCTCTTATACTCTCTCATACTCTCTCTCTTGTTCGCTTGCTTCGTTCGCATTCATGATTTGAATTCAATTGCCTTTTATCTGCTATCCTGGGCTCTGGAGTCGCTGATGATAGAATCGTCGAGATCAGAGAATCTGTTCCGTCTATATAGATGTAGATATATATTTTCTCTGTCAATCCCTCACTTATTTCATTCTCTCTCTCTCTCTCTCTCTCTCTCTCTCTTTTACTGTTTTTTTTCCGTATTCGTTTTTATACCAAAAGAAGAAGATTTTGAAGCCCGTTAATTTCGATAAAGAGTAATCGTTAGATTTGTTTTTTGTAAAACTTTATAACAAAAACGTTATCTCGTATTCGCGTACTATTATAAAAATAGAATTTCATTTGAAGTATATATAGGAATTTGTATTGATTTGAATAAAAAAAAAGAAAAGAAAAAAAGAAATAAGAATGATAAAATAACTCACGTTTACGATTAGTTAAGCTTTTGGAAAGTGTGATACAATTGTTATACTTAAAAAGATTGAAATATGTAGAGACACAATGAAGTTGAGAGATACAAAGAAAAATCTGGAGCAGTATTCATTATTTATTGGAGAAAAAGGAAGTAGATGTAGAAGTAGATGTAGATGTAGATGTAGAAATAGAAGAAGAAGAAGAAGAATAAAAAGCAAATGAGGGAATTCGTCAGAAATGTCGTTTCCGTTTGACAAGCATCTGATCTTTTCTTTTTTTGACCCTGAGCGAACATTAGGACGATGTCGCGTGGCGTTGACGAATCTGTTTAGTCCTGTAATAATACATACCATTCCTTCCTTCTCCTTTCTTACCGTTTCTCAAAAAAAAAAAAATACGCGGGTCTAAATTTATAGTTCGTTAAAAAATATACATTGGCGTGAATGATGAAACTACCGTAAGAGAACAATATCTATTATATTTACAGAGCTTACCTTCTTCTTCTCAAAAAAAAAAAAAAAAAAAAAAAAAAAAAAAGGGAAAAAAAAAAATAAAAAGGGGAAAAAAAAAAAGAAAAGGTTATACAAGAAAAAACGTGATGCTGCCGTAAAATGAATAAAAGGATAAAAGAAGGAAGAAGGAAG